CCTCACTGCAAACCAACATAATGTTTAAATTTGGGCTGGACTGGAGGGTAAGTTTTGTTGTCACCCTGTCACAGGGGCTTGCACTATAAAGCCCAAGGAACACACCAGACAGGTCAGGGACAAAATTGTGGAGAAGTTTAAACCAGGGTTAGTTTATAAAAAAAATATCCCAAGCTTTGAACATCTCACAGAACACTGTTCAATCCATCATCCAAAAATGGAAAGAGTATGACACAACTGCAAACCTACCAAGACATGGCCATCCACCTAAACTGATAGGCTGGGCAAGGAGAACATTAATCACAGAAGCAGCCAAGAGGCACATGGTAGCTCTGAATAGAGAGAGGAAGGGATATAATACACAAAGTGCCAACTAACGAATACAATGGGGGGAAAAGTCCTCTTTTTTTGGTGGGACTTTAACGGCACAATTTACTTGTATGATAAATTTCAACAATTCAAAAGAGATTTTTTTATAAAAACAGTATGAAATTTTATTTTTGCAATCTTCAAAAATAAATAAATACAAAGCTACAATACATATTGCGGCGGTGTCATCAGAGATGGTATTGCAAATCGAATCATGGATCATGCATGGTTCGCAGTTGACGCAGTTCGAGATCAACAAAAATCTCTTCTTCAGAAGTGCTCAAGAAGGCTTGACATCTATAACAAACATATATATATATCAATATACATGATGGAATCAAATTATTGTAGACAATTTGATACTTTACAATATGATTATACACTTACATGATTCCATGTGAAGTAAAAACCGCCAGGAAATATTAAGAACAAATTGTTATGTGAACACAGCCACGGATTTCTCCTATATCTCAGGCAAAAATGTGAAACAAAAATTAATAAAGATTAAGACCAGTGGATGAGACCAGTGGATGAAAAATGCCACCGAAACGCCTCCTGAAGGGGCCCCGCCCAAATGCACTATCAACAAGATTACCTGCCGGTTGGTACTGATAGAGCAGTGCTACAATGTGATTAATAAAAAGCAATATTAATATCAATTGGATATCATAAACCCTCCAGAAATTGTAAGTTTAAGAACAAGACGCACTTACTATGCGTGCAAAGCGGTGACCATAAGGAATTTGCCTGAGAAAGTGTTGATGACCTGATAAAAATCAGGATTGAGATGTGAAAGACAGCCCAATATGGGGCAATATACCTAAAGAAGAAAACGTGTGCAAACCATTATAGTAATAATACAAAAAAAATTTAATAAATAAATAAATGCAGAAATATAAATAAATAAAGAGGAAAAAGAAAAAAGGTTTGCAAAAAGTAACTGAAATATATGATAACCCCATCAGGTCTATTTAAAGAAGCATGCTTGATGGCTGTGAGCAAAGAAATGAGCTCAATAGCCCGGATTAAATTTAGCTAGGGTGGCTTGAAAAAGCTCCAATCAGCTGCAGTCAAAAAAATTGGTCCAATCAAACGGACCAATAACACTTTGTTCTGATAAAAATCAGGATTGAAATGTGAAAGACAACCCAATATGGGGCAATATATCTAAAGAAGAAAATGTGTGAAAACCATTATAATAATAATAAAAAAATAAAACAAACTAATAACAATATATATAAAAAAAAAATTTAAAAAACAAACAAAAAAAAAATACAACATTTTTTAAGTGAATAAATAAATAAAGAGAAAGAAAGAAAAAAGGGTTTGCAAAAATTAAGTGACATAATATATGATAAACCCACCAGGTCTATCCAAAGAAGCATGCTTGATGGCTGTGAGCAAAGAAATTAGCTCCTTAGCCCGGATTAATTACAGCTAGGGTGGCTGCAAAAAGCTCCAATCAGCTGCAGTCAAAAATTGGTTCAATCGAACGGACCAATAACGTGGTCCTGTTGTAAACCAAATGGCCCCTCCCTGGCTGCGTGGCACGCAGCATCACCACGTCAGTGGCGTAATGACGTCACGCCGCCGACGCATGGAGACCAGGAAAAAAGGGACGGCCAAAAGGAAGTGAGGACCAAGCCTCACTTAGATGGTATGGGGTGATGTCCCATAGACCTGGTCAGAAATGGCCGCAAGCCCCTGGAGGGGGACCGCGGCTCCCATGCGCCGGGGAGGCATCGGGGCAGCACCAACATCCACATAAGAAAAAAAGAAAGAAAATAAACAAATAGATAAAGTAAATATGGAAAGATTGTCTTCCCTTTAAAAAACAAATAATTACAAAATTACCTGCGCCGAGATATATGATCAATCAACAGATACAAGAGTTTCATTAACAAATCAACAAATGTATTTATATGTCATTAATATATGTATTTATTAATCACATATGTGCAGAAATAATAATAAATATTAAAAAAAAAAAGGAAATTTAAATATCTTTTTCGCACCCACCTGATACGAAACCCTCAAAGAATGGCTTGAAGGACATTGTTTCATTTAATCCTGGAAAGAAAGTGGCATTTAATTTTTAGATCCATCTGAGCTCGCATTGGAGTAACGTTTTGTTCCAATCACCTCCTCGTGAGCTTGCATGGATCCTGTCAAGAATGAGGAAATGGACTTTGGGAAAAATACCCCCATGAATGCCCACTGTGTGACGTCCTAGGGGTACCTCTATATTGTTGGACTTCATGCTGGAAATATGGCGATACATTCGATGCCAAAGCTCCAATTTTGTTTTGCCTACATAAAAGCAGTTACAATCACATGTGAGCAGATAAACTACTCCTTTACAATTGCCATAGTATTTGGGAATAAATTTCTCTCCATTCGGTAGTATAATAGATTTTTTGGTGTTCATAAATTGACAATAATTACAGCCACCACAGGTAAAGGTACCTGGAAATTTACAAGGATCTCGATTCCTTTGTGAGTGATATTCCTCTTTCTAAGCCACTTTCTATGGGGGAACTCGTGCAGGCTCACTCCCAAGCCTCGCTGTTCGCATCTATTGACACAGACAGCGGAACTCGGCCCTGCCCCCCTGCTCCCTCGTCATTGGCATTGATCGACAGCAGCAGGAACCAATGGCTCCCCTTGCCTCAGCAAAGCCAGTGAGAACAAGTGAGGGGAGAGAAGAGTTGCAGATGGCCAAAGATCTGGATTTAATGGGGGCTCAGGTAAGTAAAATGGGGGGTGAGGGGGGATGGTGATGCCTAAAACATATTTTACCTTAATTCAAGGAATGCATTAAGGTAAAAAATGTTTAGTTTTTTTTGTCCACAGACCCAATTCATCATATGCCGTGTTCTCTGCTGCCATGGCAAAGCACAGATATGAAAGTATAATGCGTTTTATGCATTTCAACTACAATACATTCGGTCTTCCTTGGGGTGACCCTGAATTTGACCGGCTCCACAAAATTCAGCCCCTCATAAATCACCTTGGCCAAAAATTTGCAGATGTCTATACTCCCCAGCAAAACATCTGCATTGATGAGTCTCTCATTAATTTTTCTGGCCGCCTTGCATTCAAACAACTTCTCCCCAGCAAGCGTGCCAGATATGGGGTCAAGATGTAGAAGACCTGTGAGAGGGCAACAGGTTATACATATAAGTTTCGGGCATATGATGAATCGGGTCTGTGGACCAATACAACCACAATTAATTTTTTTAAATTAATGCCCATGTTGAGGGTTAGGCCCAAAAAAGATTTAAATTCGGAAACCGTAATGGGTTTCCATGGTAATGGTCTGGCAAGGTTTGAATTTGAGTTGGCGGCGATAAATTGTTGTGCATATAAATTGCTTTGATCCACAATCAATGCATACAGATCTTCTGTGAAAAACAGCTCCAAAAAATCAAGGGGAGAAGTTAAATTTGCTGTTTGCACCTGAATTCAAGGTTGAGCAGTGAATGGGGGAAGTATGGGTGCTGCAGAGTTTGTGGGCTGCCAATTGGATTTGCAAGCACATCCGGAAGGATACTAAGGGCTCTATGGGCCTGTGTGCGAATTCTTGGTGGTTGTGGGACAATACTTGTGCTCGCCACCGCACCAGCTTGTACTGCACTTATGGGACTCGCCACGTCACCAAGTGATACTGCAGTGCTGGTATGTATAAGACCAGGATGTACTAGGTCACTGGTGCTCGCCAGTTCACCAAAAGGTAGCACGGCACTAGTACTGGCACTCTGCTGCATATGAGAGTCATCAAAATTTACCGGCAAGTGCTAGCAGAGATCAGGCCTGATTCTGCCAACACTGCGGTTTTGTGTGCAATGTATCAAGTGATAGTGACCTACTGACACTGCACTTGCTGGGGGAGAAGGGGGGGGGGGATAAGCGTAGGGGCTAAACGCAGGTGTTGGCAGGTGCCGGGGCTGATCCCCCTAACGCTGTGTTTTTGAGGACACTATAGTAATGTGAACGCTGGTATAGTGCTGATCTGTTCAAAGATATTGATCCGTTCAAACCCTATACTAGTAATGGAGGTTTATTGAGTATGAGCGTGTTCGTGGCAATCAAGGGGTTAAATGTGATGACTGGTGTACTGACAGGCAATCTGACGCTATCTGGGAGGGGCGTGATAACCACGGGAGCGCGAATCAAGTATATATACGTAATTTTGCACACCCGTGCCGCCCTGTAGCAGTATTTCTGCTTTAGGGCAGTCAGGAAGTTAAAGAAGCGATTTGCGTTACAGCGCAGCGTTACTTTAACTAACAATTGCGCAGTCATGCAATGCTGCACCCAAATGAAATTGTCCTTTTTTTTCCCACAAATTGAGCTTTCTTTCTGTGGTATTTGGTCGCCTGTGTGTTTTTTATTTTTTGCTCTACAAAAAAAAAAGTCCAAAAATTTTTCGAGGAAAAAAAAAACAATATTTTGGACTTCTTGTTATTAAACATGTCCAGTATAAAAATTAAAAAATCTAATTTTGTCATAAATTTCAACCAAAATGTATTCTGCTATGTCTTTGCTAAAAACAATCCCAATAAGTGTAAATTAATTGGTTTACATGAAAGTTATAGCGTTTACAAATGGCGGTATAGCTACTGGAATTTTTTTTGTATACTAATAATGGTGGCAATCAGAGACTTATAGCAGGATTGCAGGACTGCAGCGGGCATTCTGACACTGGGGGAAACTGACTTGGTGTCACTGACATCCCCAGTGACACCAATGCAGTAATCAGTGCTAAAAAAAAAAAGCACTGACACTGTACTAATGGCGCTGGGCAGGAATGGATTAACAATAAGGGGTGATCAAAGGGTTAACTGTGTGATGGGAGTGTTATACTAGGGGGATATAGTATTATATATTACTCATACAGTATTATTACTCATTTCTTAGAGTCATTTGTCTGAGCAACTTTGCAGGGGTCACTTTCCAGAGTCACTTGTCAGCCCATATATGCTTCATTTTTTTTAATCGATCCCTCCACCCATACACTTGATATGATATGGTGGAACTCCTCCCCCCGGATCCATTGTATTCTGACATCAGGGAGACTTCACGTCCTCCGAGGAAGTTCTCACAACATTCCAATGTCATTCAAAAGATTTAGTTTGCTTTTAACATTTGATCTTGGATTGAATGGACTTTACCGAACAAAAACCACATTCACTGCTAGAAATTAATTTGTGAACAATTTTCCATCCTGCTCCTTCCAATTTTCTCATCAGAAAATGAACATCGATTTGACCTCCTAATAATTAGAAGAACAAACAAGCTTTCTCAGAACCTTCTTTTCCTGAGTATATTTGTTCAAAAGTCTACCCATCTCTGGCCATCCTGTCTAAGCCACTTGTCAAAGTTACTTGCTCAAATCACTTTTCAAAATCACTTGTCTGAGTCACTTTGCAGAGTTACTTGTCTAAGACACTTTTTTTAGTCACTAGTCTAAATTACTTTCAAAGTCATTTGTCTAAGCTACTTTTCAGAGTCACTGGTCTGAAACATTTTTCAAAGTCATTTGTCTAAGCCACTTTTCAGTGTTACTTGTCTAAGTCACTTTTCAGAGTTACTTGTCTAAGTCACCATTCAGGTTTAGTTTTTCAGAGTCATTTGTCTGAATCACTTTTCAGAGACATTGTTCAAACCACTTTTCAGAATCGCTTGTCTACATTAATTTACATTTCAGCATTACTTGTCTTTTCAGAGTCACGTTTAAGAGTCATTTCAGTAACTTGTCTGAGTCCCTTTCCAGTGTTACTTGTCTAAGTCACTTGTCTAAGCTACTTGTGTAATTTTTTTTAACCCTTTTTTAACAATTTCTATAAATCACTTAACTTTTCAGTCACTTGACAAATACACTTGTATCACTTGAGTCATTTGCCTAAGTAAATTTTCAATGTCACTTGTCTACTGAGTCACTTTTCAGAGCCATTTGTGTTAGTCACTTTTCAGAGTCATGCGTCTAATTCACTTTGCAGAGTGACTTGTTTATTTCAGAGGCATTTGCCCAAGTCAGTTGGTTGAGTTATTTGTCTGATTTTCTTTTTGAAGTTGCTTGTTTGCGTCACTTGTGTAAGTGACTTGTATGGGTAAGTCACTTTTCAGAGTCACTTGTCTGAGCCACTTTTCAGAGTCACTTTTCATAGTCACTTGTTCAAACCACTGTTCAGCATCACTTGCCTAATTCACATTTCAGCATCACTTGTCTAATTCACATTTCAGCATCACTTGTCCAAGTTACTTGTCTTTTCAAAGCCACTAGTCTGAGTCACGTTTAAGAGTAATTTCATTAACTTGTCCAAGTCAGAGTCACTTGTCTAAAGCACATGTGTGAGTCATTTGTCTAAATCACTTTTCAGAGTCACTTGCCCAACTAGTCACTTTTCAGAGCCACTTGTGTTAGTCACTTTTCAGAGTCATGTGTCTAATTCACTTTGCAGAGTCACTTGTTTTTTTCAGAGGTATTTGTCTAAGTCAATCATTTGAGTCTCTTGTTTGATTCCCTTTTTGGAGTTTGCTTGTCTGAGTCACTGGTGTAAGTGACTTGTATGGGTAAGTCACTTTTCAGACTCGCTTGTCTGAGGCACTTTTCAGCGTTAACTATTTAAATTAATTTTCAAAGTCACTTGTCTGCATCACTTGTCTAAATCACTTGTGTGAGTCACTTGTTTAAGTCATTTTTTTAGAATCACTTGTCCGAGTTACTTTTTTAGAGTCACTTTTCTTTCTAAAGTCACTAGTCTGAGCCCCTTTTTAGAGTTACTTGCTTGAGTCCTCTGTCTGTCACTTCTCTAGATCACTAGTTTAAGTCACTTCTCATAGTCATTTGTCTAAATTACCTGTCTGTCACATTTCAGTTCTACTTGTTTACTTCACTTCTCAGAATCACTTCTCTGGGTCACTTGTCTGCTAAGTCACTTTTTAGAGAGGAGCTGTGTCCAATCAGAAGCTGGCATTGTATGTGTAGTCTGATGGAGGTGGGGCCATCTGTCTGAACGCAATATCTGCTCTGTCAGTGTGATTGGTGGATCTGTGTGTATGTCCGGATCAGAGCGCCCCCTTCTTACTTGTAAGGACATTACAGGTCCACCCCTCGCCCCAAGCAACGCCCCATCACTCCTCCCCTATAATCACGCCTCCCCCCCAACCAATCCCCCCAATCATTTCTCCCCTTTAATCACCCCTCCCCCCCTCTAATCATCCCCTCTATCCCACCTCTCACCTGGTCAGGTCAGTATTCCTCCCCTCAGTCCTCTCTCCGGGTCTATCACTGCCGCCGGTTCCAATGTGGGGGACGCCTGCATTGTGCTGGCCCCCGAGATTATCAATCCCCTGTTGTCCCCTTGTGATGACATCTTCCTCTTCTCTCTCCTGATAGGACCCCACCAGCCATCCAATAGCAGTGTGCATGTCTCACAGGCAGCAATGCAGGCACCTGAAGAAGGACCCCTCCAGGAAGTAAACATCAGATGAGAGGACTGGGCCATGGGGTGTCATCTGATTGCAGGTTCAGGTCAATGAAAGAGAAGCAGTTAGAGCTGGGGGCAACTGGGGCCCTGGAACTGTTGAGGAGTCACTATCAGTCTTCCCATCATGCCTCTGGGAGTCATGCTTGTACCTGTCAGTTTTGCAATGCCTCATGGGACATGTAGTTCCACAACAGCTGGAAGGCCACAGTTGCCCACCTCTGAGATAAAGGGGGAGGGGACATTTGTATTCATTAAGTGTACTATATGTAGAATTTCTGTATTTATACCAGGTGGTCCCATCCTCTCGGGGACGCCTCTTCTCCTCCATGCGCCTCACTGGTTTACTTCCCATCTCTGCTCCCACCAGTCATGTTCTCTGTAGCTCCATCCTCGTACACTCCCATCATCTGAGATGTACATGACAAGCTCATGTTCCTGCAATGAACTCCCTGTATTCACGTGACCATAGACTATATACAATCTGGTTGTACAATCTTCTTTATGGTGCCCATGCACTATGCAATCTGATTGTGCAATCTCCTTTATGGTGATCATGCACTATACAATCTAATTGTACAATCTCTATTAGATCTGACATCAATACAAGGGTCTGCCTGACAGGATACAAAGTGAAAAAGCTGGTTTGCTGTGTCCTCCTATCACACTGTTTGGGTACATCTAATGGAGGCCATACACAAATTGATAAATCATCGATTTCTTTTCTGATCAATCTCTTCTGATAGGAATATTCCTTCTATCAACCCAGTCCATCAATATGAAACACAGGGAAGTGGATTGTAATCTATGGTTAGGATACAATATCCTCCTACCATAACCCTCCCTTACTCTATACATTCTCAACCATATCTCTTTTTCCACCATGCAATCTCATAATCTGATTGATGGAAATACAATCATACTCATGAACAAAGTAACTCCGCTATTCTGAACAATGCAAAACGACTATTATTCCACTTTGGTCAATCGACTCGGTTTGAATGAATCCAATTTAATATGAGTGTAAATCGATTGGGAGGGAAGTAGTGTCTAATAAATGATCATTCTGATTGAATCATACGTTGATCAGATAATAAAAACAAAGGTTGTGTGGTCCCCAGATACTCTACAATCTGATTGTACAATCTCCTTTAGATCTACCATCAACATAATACAAGAGCCCACCTGATTGGATAGAAAGTGAATGAGTTGGTTGGCATGTCCTCATATTACATAATGTTGGTAAATCTAATGGTCTCTCTCCATTGTGACTGAACAACCCCACAACCAGGCTGAGACCCCCAAAAAAAGATTCACAGTCAACCATAATCACACCAACCAATTTCTAATATTTATGCATTTAACAACTTTAATGAAATGTGTAAAAACAGAAATATTAGAAATAGGTTGATGTGTTTATGGTTGAACATGAATCTTTTTTGGGGGGTTCACCTAAACAATCATTCATAGCTGGCCTCATTAGGACCCCATTCACATCTGCACAATGTGCTACTATGACAGCACACCTGTCACCCTGATTGGTTGATTCTGTCAGAGAACTGCTTCCTTGCCGTTGGGACACAGGACCAAGATATTACAGTTGGGCATCACACCCAAGACTACGCGACACTAGCTTAGATGCAGCTGGAACTACTTTATTGAACAGGAACACAAGATTTTATACAATTCAGAAACAGGGGCAGTCCCCACATGAACAATAAAACAAATATTACACTTTGGGATAAACATCCTGCACTGATTAGGTAAGAGCTTGATCACATTATCCTAAACAATGCAAATGGTAAACAGTACAGCCTACAGCTAACAGTGATCTAATTAACGGCAAGCTAATCAACAGCCAGTCACCCAGACAATGCTTTGAATAATCAGGGAGCCCATCCCAGACAGATGGCAACAAGCCCAACCCTGAATACACAAAGTGCATTACACATGCTGTCTATCAGGTGTTTGCCTTTACTTGTATAATCTGTAAAAAGACAAAACTCATACAATATTCCAACAGTCTGAAAAAGTGGAATTAAACTGTTACTAAACCCACAACAGTAAAATCAGTCTGTATATGCAGTAAAGCATGCTTGTTATACTCACTGTGGAACCTAAGGGGTTAATACTCTGCATTTTGTAAAAATGCTGTTTGCTCCTGCCTTTTATGATCCTCCCCTTCTTCCAATGCCCCCATCTTATCTCCTGATAAAACATACCATGTGGAGTCACTCTGCACATGCTCAGTTTGGTGTGTATTGCTGGAGATGTTTTTTTTTCTCTTGGGAGAGTGCATGTGATCAGCACAGGGCCAATCAAGCACTGCTCAGACAGAGTTCAGGGGTTCTGCATCCT